TTAACAAAAGTACACAAATCAGTGGGCCTTTGTCAAACACTGCAAACAAGCTGTCATGCTTAAGAAGAGCCTCCTTTTCTCTCAGATTTTATATCACTGAGTTCATCTCAGGTACCACAAAGTACAGTGAAAATCTAATAAGTTAAAATAAGCTGTGGAAAGGTCACCAGAAAAACAGCAAAAAACAATATTCTTCAACTGAGTGAATGATTTCTCTCAGGGGATTGACTTTTAGATTGTGATTTTAAAAATATTTGCAATGTTTCTGAAATCGCAATTTTTTTGTGCACACGATTTCAAATAAAGGTGATCAAATCTTCCTGCCGTTCTAGGTGACTGAAATTAAACTGCCAGCAGTTATCACTAAAACAAAGGTAAAGCTATTTTGCTTACACATAATTGAATGTTTCTGAAGTCTAAAGGACTAGAAGACTTCTCAGTGTGAATGTCTGTTTCAACAAAGATACCCTGTTTTGTAGTATTGGATCCATGGAGTTTCTAATTACACGTATATAAGTCTTGGCAGCATTACCGTAGTTCAATTTTGCCTTCTGCATCTAGGAATGTGAAAGATTTGTATATGCCGCTGGTTGTGACTCGCCAATAACAAGTAATGAAAATTCCTATTTATCATTTCTAGGATCAACACCAGTTTGACAGCAGAAATTGGCATTACTTACCTGGCACACAATTACTGTTGTATAGAATCTGGAAAAATAAATCCCTCAATCCATTCAGGAATGTTCTTTTCCCAATTACGGTTTCAATGACTCTGCACATAACACTGATTTTTACCTTTTTCTATTTGCATTTTAATTTCAAAAGTCCCTGTCAATATTATTTCTATAATACAGTGTGTTTATGTTTTCAAAATCTTAACAACTTCTTATCCCAGGAGTCCCTTTATTATTTAATTTTTTACTTTGTTCAGTTACTGGAAAACATCTCATAGCTTCTTTATCTATTACTTTACTTGAGTTGATTTTTTTCGTTACTTTATGAAATTACCCATTTGGTGATCACATGACTAATATGCAAAAAGTTCTTATTTCAATTATAAAAGCAAATCTAATTCATGACTATTAAGAGAAGTACTTTGCAAGTCAACCACTGTTTATTTCAGAATATAATCAAGTACCACAGGCTAGATTAAAAACTTAAGGATAGGGATTTTTTTCCCCCTGATTTAAAATAAAACAGGTAATCAAACCTTCCTGCCAACCTAGGTGCCTGTGAAATTTAATCACCAGCAGTTATCATTAAAACAAAGGCAAAGCAATTTCTTTTCTTTTTTCTTTTTTTTTTTTTTTTTTGTGGTATGCGGGCTTCTCACTGTTGTGGCCTCTCCCGTTGTGGAGCACACGCTCCGGACGCACAGGCTCAGCGGCCATGGCTCACGGGCTCAGCCGCTCCGCAGCATGTGGGATCCTCACGGACCGGGGCATGAACCCGTGTCCCCTGCATCGGCAGGCGGACTCTCAACCACTGCGCCACCAGGGAAGCCCCAAAGCAATTTCTTTTACACATAATTGAATATTTCAGAAACACATTTCTAAAGAGTTCTCAGAAAATGTATTTAAAAATTAATTTTAACCTGATTATTTCATCTGTTGTGACTCAGCTGGTAATGTAGAATAAATGAGATGCTTGGGTAATGTGGTCCAACAACAGCAGGTAAGAACATATTCTCAGGAAAATCAGATAATTTTGAGCTTAATATGAGTAAATTATTAGATTTTTACTCTTCACACAAATCCATCCAAACCTAAACCTCCCAGAAATAGAGGCTATTCCTCTAAGAGAGGTTTAACCCATGGTATTCTATTCAAGTTCACCTCTCCATATCCTGGACCCTACAGAATCAACCATTCCTTTCTCAGTGCTCAATTGCCCAAGTATGTCCTAAGGTACTGGAGAGCTGTGCCACTAAACCCATTGCCACCTGAGCAGAAAGAAACTGTCCAGAGAAGAGGAACCACCAAGAAAACAGGTCAATAGCCCTAAGGAGGGAGTTGAAAATTAGGCAATGAACTTCCCTATCTCCAGGTCTTTGCCTAAGATCTTACCTCTTCCTGAAATGCCTTTCCCGCGCTCTGCTTTTTGAAAACATTCCACTCATCCTTCAAGGCTCCACTCATATGTCACCCCTACTGACCCCTCACAACTGAGGTCATCACTCTCTTCCCTGCACTCTCCTCCCCATAATTTATTTTATCAAAATGGAAAATAGATTGCTATTTGCTTGTCCATCTCTGCTGCTGGATGGAGAGGAAAAGGATCTTGACGCATTTTTCTATTCCATACACTTGGGATTATGCCTGAAACCTAAAAGAAACTTAATAAATGCTTGTTTAATGGAGCTCAAACCGCAAGACCAAACTTAACATGCAAGGTAAGAGGCAGACTTGATGTGTGTTGGACTTATTTCTGTACCTAAAGTCTGAGTCAGTGAGAGCTTTCTTTTTCATTCCTCCAAGGAACAAACTTTATTCACACCAAGCACTTATTTAGTGCCACACCCTGTGCTAAACGCTCTATACACGTTATCTCACTTAATCCCCATGACATTCTTATGAAATAGTTCCTGTTATTAGCATCAGTCTCATTTATCGATGAGGAAATTGAGGCTTGGAGAAGTTAAATAACTTACCCCAAGTTACCCACTGCTGGAGCCAAACTCAAGGACAATAATCCCAGAACTTCAGAACTTGAAGAAATCCTTTAAATTATCTTCCTCACTTAACCTCCTTGAATCTGATGCTTATAACTTACTGCCTGGCACATAGTAGGCCCTCCAAAACGGTGATTAATAGATTGATGGAGTGTCCTAATTTTTCAGACTCTGGCCTTTGCCTGAGAGAACCCAGCTGCCACCACAAACAGGCTCTATTCTTTCCTGCCCAACACCTCCCACAGGTGTGAATTGCTTGTGTCACCTGAATTATTCATGATCCACACGATGGTGAGCTTAAAAAGAGAATGCTGGCTCTCAAATTTTTCAAGACAAAGTGCCTGATTAATTGGTGAATTAGCCAATATAAGCTCATGGCCCATGGTTGAGTCATACCAAAAAATATACCTCTGCCCACTTTTTGAATTTAAGCTTTCGCAAAATTTTCCAGTTTCCATTAGGATTTAAAACAGTGGTAACTAAAGCAGAAAAAAGAACCATCACAAGCACCTCTAGTCTATCTACAAAGCAATTAACATCATCTAAAGCTTATACTGTGCTGCTTCAAACCCATGTATTCTTCCTAAGGCTGAGTTAGGTTTTTCAATAACATTCCTTAAGCTTAAGGAGATCTTTCACCAAGATCTGAAAATTCAGATGCCACAGCATCTGTAATTTATACCTTCAGTAAATCATGTGATAACACTGCCTTATTGTCCTTTATCCTTTCTTCTTTCCCTTCGTCACCTCTCCCCCACCAGTTCATTTTCTTGTGGGCCATTTTCGGAGAGGGATAACCATATGCTAATCATAAGCTAACATCACTGTGTTTTAAATTCAATGTTAGTCAACCAAAATGAACTGAAAAGCAGCAGCAGTGGTTTGGGGGTACTAAAAATAAGCTGTAGCATTTGCTGAGTTCTCAGAATTAAAACCACAGGCGGTCAACTTGTTGCTGCTCTTAATAAGATATGACTGTTCTGCCCCATTGGTTGCTACTACCAGAAACTTCAACTACATCGTACACATAACAACACTGTGCTTTTCATTAGTTGGCAGTGATCAAGAAAGGAAGTGCTATTTCCCTGGAACTAAAACCTGCCAAAAAAGATAATAAATGGCTTTCAAGTGATCACCTTGTTCCACGTCACAACTGCACCTTAGTCAAATCACCTTGCATTTATGATTTAATTAGTCACACATCTAGAGATATGGTTCCTTAATGCTTGGCTTGCTGTCCAATGCCTCCAACAAAGTGTTTCTTCTTGTGAGTTTAATTTTTGGGTAATAATTTAAAACACACACACAATAGGAATTAATACAATATTGATATATTAAGCATTTCCATTAGGACTTCAAGACCTTCTTGACCCATGAATGCTGTAAACTACACTAAATGTCTTATCAGCTAACCCTTTAGGGTTTGTCATTAAAGTTTTCAATGACTAGCGAAGTAGAAGAATTCTACCTAATGCATCATCCTGATTAGAAACCTGTCATACTCAGAATCCAGTGGGTCTGCTTCTATTGATTCCTACTCCTTCAGATTCATTAGCAATTTGTTCTCTTCAATTAGACCCGCTGTTCAACGTAGAAAAGCTGAAAGAAGCCCTTCCTTCCTCGGCCGCACTTGAAAAAAAAAAATATGTATGCCTGGAAAGTAAAATCACAGAACATATTCCAAGAGGCCACAGAGGAAAATCACACACACACACACACATACACACTTGCAAACGGGCAAATTGTCAAAGGCTGGCTCGACCTCGCGTCCCCTAACTCGCTTCGATCAGAACCAGAAAGAGAATTACCTCTATCTCAAACCCATACCCCAAGCGTGGGTCTCCACGGAGCTAATTTCTGAAACAAACAAAGAAAATCAAGTCTGCGAGAAGCGAGGGTTTGCTCCCCACTGCCTTGAATGTGGACATCCCGCGGAGCGGGCACCCCAGAGCTAGCGGGTTGGGGCGCCCAGCGTCACCCTAACCTTCCCCGCCCCGCCAGCCCGGGTTCCAGCGGCGCCAGAAAGTGCGAGCCCGCCCCTACCCGGTTCGCTTCTCGCCTGCTGCTCCCCAAATCTCCAGAACCCCCGCGTCTGCACACTAAGGGCGCCCCGCTCCCCCACCTCTGCGCTGCCAGACGCCAGGCGCGGAGGTGCTGTGGGCACCGAGGGTGCTAGCCAGCCAAACAAGTGTCACACCGGCCGCCTGCCCTCACCCCGGGAGAGCGGGCAAGACGGCCACAGGTAGGCTCTCTCCATCCCAGAGTGCGGGGCGAGGGCAGCGTGCGACAGACCCAGCGGGGCAATCGCGCCCGACGGGCTGAAACTCACCGGAGGACACCGAGGAGCCGGACAGGCTGGAGTTGCTGGACGCTGCCATCTCCGCGCGCCCCGCGCGACGCTGCTCGCTCAGCCGCGGTGCGGACGCCGCCGCCGCTGTCCTGGCCCGGCAGCTCGCAGCCTCCGCGGCCCCCAGCCCATGGCAAAGTCCTGGGGACGCGCAGAAAGCACCAGCCTCCGGACTCTGCCTGCACTTCCTGCTCCGCCAGATGACGCGCTGCTGCCGCCGCTATTTATTTGTGGTTTCCGTCACTCTCGGCGCCTTCGCACGCTTTTCTGCGAGTGTCGAGGGTAGGTGGGAGCGGAGGGAGGCCGAGGGGCGGCCGAACCAGACGAATCGTGCCTCCAGCTGAGCCCCAGCTGCGGTGCGCGCTCCCCAGCGCGCGGCTGGGACCAGGGCGCCCGGGCGGCCCCGAGACGCCCCGCCGGCTCCCCGCACCCTCCCCCCGGCTCCCGCCTCCCCGGCGGCACTTCAAGCTGCCCGGGCAAAGGCGGCGGGAGACAGACAGACAGAGCGACCTCCCCCTTCTCCCTCCTCCCCAACTCCGCTCGCGCGCACACAAAGGAAGGAGAGGAGACGCGGGAGCTCGGGGGCTGGTTCAGCTGCCGCGGGCTTGACAGCTCCTGCGACGGGGGCTGGAGGGGGAGGCTGTGGGCTGCAGGGCGGGGCGACACTGGCCCGGGGAGCCGGACCCCGAGGTGCCGGGGAAGCCGCTGGGGGGCGCGGGGTGAGCATGGCTGCGGTGCGCAGCGCGGCTCCAAAGGTTTGAGGGCGACCGGGTGTGGGGCGTGGGGGAAGGTGGCGGGACTCGCGACGCCCGCTCGGACTCGGGAGCAGCGAGACAGCCGGGGTGCGATCCAGAGGGCGAAGGCGGGGTCACTAAGGACACGATGCTAGGCGTAAGGGGGCCTGGGATGCCAGAGCGGCTATGGAGCGCTCCTTGCACTCCCCTCCAAATTGTCCTTTGTCGCTCTGGAGCTGAGGATTCCTGCCCTGCAAGAAGGTGCGTTTCCTAAAATACCCTCAAAACACCCGGCAAGCCAATCCGGCTGCTCTTAAGTACCCCAGCCATGGACAGTGCCCGACGGGTCCACTGGGCTTTTGAGCTGGGCCTTCAAAGAAATAGAGACGTTCCAGATATGCCATCAGGCCCACACAAAGCCGGGTGTCAAAGAAAAAGAGGTTCTCACACTGCAGTCTTGCAAAGGATCTTCACAAAAGACTTAAGACTTAGCAGCAGGTCCAATTGTGCCCTTTCTGGATAAGGAACTACTCAGGTGTGTGAGAGAAAGAGACTCTGGCACAAGGTGTGTACTTTACTCCTGTATTTAAACCTAAATTAATTTCACTGGGAGGAAATATCATGCAGATTTTTTAAGTCTATTTCACGCTCCCAGCAGGGTAATCGGTTCTTTCATTCCTGAAGCCACAGAAAACTGTGAAATTTGAACAGAAATTGTTAGTTCAAAGGAAAAAGCAAACATTAAAGGAATGAAAGTACTCTCATTATGTAGCAAAGTGGAAATTGTTCACATTGTGGTTGTTCAATTTTTAAAAACATGGTTAAAAGGACATAGTCAATTTAAAAATTATCAGGAGTGACACAGGAACAGCAGCCAATCCTAGGGGGTCCACCTCAACCAAGCACCTAACACACAGTGAATAATAAATGTTGAATAATCACAGTATGCACCCATGTCACATTTTCTAGTTGATTTAAACTTTTTTTTTTTTTTAATTCCCTCCAGGATGCCATCCCAGTGTATGTTCCCAATAAGGCTCTTTTTTTTTTTTTTTTTTGCGGTACACGGGCCTCTCACTGTTGTGGCCTCTCCCGTTGAGGAGCACAGGCTCCGGACACGCAGGCTCAACGGCCATGGCTCATGGGCCCAGCCGCTCCGCAGCATGAGGGATCTTCCCGGACTGGGGCACGAACCCGCGTCCTCTGCATCGGCAGGCGGACTCTCAACCACTGCGCCACCAGGGAAGCCCTTGTTTTGTTTTTAATGCAGCTTGCAGAATAGTTGAGGGCTCTGGAGCACTCTCCAGTCACATTGGACTGAGTCCTCCTGACACTCATCTACATGGAACTTGAAACATCCCAGCCTGGTATACGGAGACCCAAGCACCTCCACTCCGCCCCCCTTCCATTCTTCTTCTTCTTTGTGTAATGCAGCCTTGATGCAGCTTTATGTGGAGCCCTTCAAGGACATATGGCCCATCACAACCTTGACCTCTCTGTCAGAATAGAATTCCTGTTTTTTTCAGAGTTCTCCTGACCAAAGGCATCATCTACCTCTCTGACTAGTGATCTGTGTATCCCTCCAGATCTTTAGCTGGTGGACTGTCTGACTTGGCTATGTCACCTAGTAGGGTTGTCTCCCTCTGGGCTTTGAAGGAGACTACACCTGGATTCAAACTCTGGTTCTGCCACTTATTAGCTATGGGACCTTGAGCAAATTACTCACATTTGCTGAGGTTCAGTTTCTCCACCCCCAACCAAACTCCTGATAATGTAGGGCGTGGTGAAAATTAAATGACATGAGATGTGTAAAGTCACAGTGTACCTGGTATACAGTTTGTGCTCCATAAGTGATTGTAAATTTTTTACTTGAAAGATGGAATCTATGATTTGAACAACTTTGGCTTTCTCCACTGCATCTGGAGATAACTAATCAGCAGTGACCTGTTCTACCAGGGGAAATGCTCATCTTCGGCCCAAGGTTTGTATCTTTCTTGTCCCAAATCAAGAAATATGCCAACAGGTTTCATCACTCAGAAGTCTCACAAAGGGATGTCAAATTCTATTTCTGCAGTTTGGATGATGATATCTACCCTCATAGAGCTTTACAGTCCTTAGTTAGAGAAAGTAAAGCATGGCCCTGTGAAGTAGATTATTTTTTTATTCCCAATTGACAGATGAAGGGACAGAGGGACACTTGCTGTGAAGGCATTACCCCAAGGCACCCTGTGTACAAAAGTAGAATAAGATGGAAAATAATTTTTTTTCCACTGGGTCCAGAGGTCAGAAGAATACAAGACCAACAAATACACTTGCTGAGTAGAAACGGGATGACTGGGGAGGCTTAGCTAATTGGTAGGAGATGGACGGAAACTCTGAAGTCCATTATTTTGAAGAACAAAAGGAAAGCTCTAGGTTCAGTACTAAAATCTGAAAGTTAATCAATAACTTGGATTGTTAAAGTCATAACCAACAGAGAAAACTCAGCAGGCATGATCGCTCACCATCAACTTAGTTTCAGAGGCTTAATGGCTCGCTGCTACTTGCAAAAATGTTTAATATCAATATATTAGCAGAAGGGAGAGGAAACAAGATGCTAACCTCCTCAGTAGGCTCAGGAACCTGTTTGTGGACCTTCCAAAGCATTCCTCTAAATGAAGCAATAAGAAAATTCATTCATATATTTTATTCACTCATGTACGGCCTTATTTCTAGGTAATGCCTATCTGCTGGTAAAAACGGAAATATTGGTGCTACAAAGATCTTAAGTCTGTTTGAGAAGTAGGGATTTTTTAAAGATATTTCTACCTTCTTTCTTCAAAGAGTAAAGTACTTATGGGATGAAAGGAGTCTTGATAACTTAGTCTATTTAGGCTTAAAAATTACCATTTTGTTTTAACTTAGCATTCATGCTTAGCTTAGCATTTAAAGCCTTCCCACCTTCCCTTTCCAAACATATTTCCTGTTGTCCCTGTCACAAACGTAACCCTGCCTCACCTCGCCCCCTAACCGCTGGGGCTGCCAGCACTGGCCTTTTCCCATCCCTCCCTGCTGGACCTCCTACAGACCGTGAAGGTTCAAGAAGACTGTACCTTCTTGGGGAATCGTCCCTGAACCCCAAGCCAGAAATCGGCTCTCCTTCTGTTGAATTCCTTAGTCTTTTCTCTGCACCTCTCAAATGGCAGATGCTCTGTCTTGCTTTGGTCGCAATTGTGGAACATATTTGACCTCCCTACTTTACTAAAAGCTTCCTGGGGGGTAGGATCCTTGTCTGGCCAGCCTTTGTAGTCTCTACCATGCTTTACACGCAATAGGTGCTCAGTGGATATCTGTGGAATAAGTGAGTAAACCAAGGAACAAATGAATCCATGAATGGTTCTCATGTTCTCACACCAATTAATTTTCACATCAGTAGCTGTGACCACTGAGCAACTAGGTGATGAGTGACGCATCTGGAGCACAAAAAAGTTGACGGGCATGTTAAGGACCCACTATTTTGCTGTGAACAAGAAAAACTAAGATGGTGAAAACAAGAATAAATTTCCATGGAGCAAATGTTTGCATTCCCCACCCCCACTCCCATCACCAGCTGTTACAACTCCTGTAATTTATTGTTTACAGAGGCGCTCTTCTGTTACTGTAATTTGTTTATTTTTGCTTTACTGTTCCTTCCTTTGAAGTTTAAAGGCAGACGTGAAAACACCGAAGGGTACATGCGGCTGTTGTGGCTGGAGCTGGGCTCCCACATTTCAGGCACTTGGGGGTGTTTGTGAAGGTCATTCCTCTTCTCCTTGCTAAGCATAGAATGAAACATTCCTGACTTTCAAGATTAATCCAGGGGCCATCTTTCGGGAGAAGAGTGGGGCTATTTGTCAACTAGTTTTAAATATTTTATGGCAAATACTCTACTATAGAAAAGGGGTCCTTTTGCCATTAATTTCTCAACATAGATATACTCTTTGTTGTAGTGAGAAATATTTCCCTTTGCAGTTTAAGCCGTGTTTCTAATGCAAAGATACCTAGTCCTGTTAAAGAGAAAACACTGGCTCTTCCGGGGTAACGTCAGGTGTAACTAAAGGCAGAAGCTGAGAAACAGTGCACGTCCTCCGAAGAGGTGCGCAGACAGCCCAGGGCTGGGTGACTGGAGCAGACAGCTCAGACGCCGCAGGTAGCAGCCCAGCCTCTGAACAAAAGGAGTCCACACCTGGGGTGCAGACAAAGGAGGCCGCCTCGGCTACCCAAGTCCCAGTTCACACCGCCTGCCGCTGGGGACCCCTAGTGGCGACATGCCGCAAGCACAAGTGTTCCTGAATCTGAGATGCGGAGGGGTCCGGGGTAACACCGAGTTTCCCTGTTTGCCACTTAACTTGGGAGATCAGGCACACACTTATGGCATGGCTGTCAGCTACAACCTCTTTGACTTGAGAGAGAAGTGGGGAGGAAGAGAGAGACAGAGGTATTGAGAGAGAAAAAGAGAAATGAAGGCTTTTCTTTCTTTCTAAAGGAAAAAAAAAATCAGAGTTCAGAAATTCAGTGATAGAGTTCAAAAACTCATTGAATATGCATTCTTCCACAGTTCACCTCTGGCTTTGTTCCCTGACATTTTAGATAACAAAAATCTTTTCTACCCTCTATGTCCAAAGAGAAATCTAGGATAAACTAAAC